CAGGCGGCCATGGCGCAGGTGCTGAATCTCAACAATGAGGTGAGTCCGCACGCGCCCCCCGTTCCCGGGCTGCTCCCTCCCGGGGCCCAGAACCGGGGCCGGGGGCGGCTCTCGCTCGGAGGGCCCGGCTGGTCCGGGGTGGGGGCGGCGGAGTCGTTTCCTGAGCTTTTGGTTTGTTTGCTATTTCAGGGGAGCCTTGGGATCAGGCATCTTGTGTCCCCTCTGGGCCTGACCAGTGCCAGGCAGACGGGGCCCCGGTAGCTCAGCGATGAGGCCCATGGCAAGGAGGGTGGTTCTGAGTAGTGGCCCTACCAAAGTCACTGTCCATTTTGGTCAGTTTCATGAGCATAAGCTTTAAAATGGTCAATTCCACGGTTTCAGTTTTTATGCCTAAACAGTCACAGTTTTGTCACCAGAGAGGGCTGGACCCAAAAGAGGATTCTGGGTTGGGGGAGGGAGTTGCTAGGCTATTGTAGGATTTCATAGTTCATCCTGGGAACAAAAAAGGAGTACATTCTGAGGAAATAAAAAGTGAAGGAAAAAGAGTTTTGGGGGCTCCATCAAAGAGGGCAGGTCTACACTAGGGATGTTAGTGACTAGTCGACACTCTGAGAAGCAAATGTTTATGGATAGTTGAGCAGCGACTCTCCTAGTCACTTCTTTCCCCTCAACTTGTCACTTTCTCAGGTAGTGGGGGGGCCCGAGGGATGCTGCTGCTGCAGCAGCAACAACAAAACAGTCCTTTTGTGCAGGGGTCCCAACAGGGAGCTGTGTGCCCCTCCCTCCCAGCAGACAGGAGCTGCTGCCTTTGCAACCCTTGCCCATGGCCAGCCCTGGACTCTGCAAACAGGAGCTAGCCAAACAGTCCTGGTTAGCACTGATGGCTGTGCCTCTGCATTTTAAATGTAGTAAGAGCCCAGTGGCTCTTACTACATTTAAAATGCAGAGCTGTAGCATGGGTGGTTTCGGAGCTGGCAGGAATCAGGACTGTTCATTCCTGGATTTGGCTCTTGGATCTACCCATGCTGTGGCTCTGCACAACAGCGCTTATCAACTAATTGTATAGTTGATACAAAGTGTATCAACTGTATGATTAGCCAGATAATAACATTTTAACATTCTTAGTCTACACTTAAAATGCTGCAGCGGTGCAGGTGCTCTCAAGTGAGGACACTCCTATGCCCATGGGAGAGCTGTCAGAGAAATTCCACCATCTCCTTGAGAGATGGTAGCTATGCTAGGAATGTGAATGGTTAACCTTAATGGGTGATGTTTATTGGTTAACCAGTGGTGACTGGAGTAGTCTCTCATCCGCAGTGGGTAGGAGGCTGCTCCAGCGCTCCAGGATCTGCCACGTGCAGGGGGTGCTCCAGCCCTGCGGCCCAGCTGAAATATGACTGGTGGGCGGGGAAAGAACTCAACCCAGTTGCTTCTGTTGAATCGGTTAACTGGTTAAACATAACATTTAACTAGTTCATTAATTAAATGGGATTTTCAAAAGCTTCAGAGGGGTAGCTGAATTAGTCTGTAACTGGAACTTTAAAAACTATCAAAACATGTAGCTCAGGGCTACTCAACTCATGGCCCGTGGGCTGCCCGTTTGCGGTCCGCAGTGAAGTTTGGGTTTACGCAGAGCTCAATATGCGGCCTATGGATGGGACCCTTTTTACATGGCCTCCACTGGGAACATGCTCCACAATGATGAGTCAATATAATGATCTTCTGTTAATATGCATTTTAGCAGTCAAATTCCTGGATTGTCATTGCTTATTAAAAGTGCTGTCATATAGGTGGAAATCAGGTAAATATGGCATTTTATTAAAATCAGCAGGACTGACTTAAATGGGGTCTGCGTGCTGTGTAGTTTTGCCCTAATCTTTGTGCTGATGTGTGTCAGTGCAAAATAATATATTTGCATATATATTTGCATGTACATGCAACCACACTTAAGTTGCAGCCCTAGACATATGCTGTGAGTATTACTGTTATCTCTCAGGGCTTCCAAAGTTGAGTAGCCTTGATGTAGATGGTGGCATGAGTTTTCATGGGTACATCCACTTCTTCTGATGAATGGAGTTATTAAAGGTCTAGTTCCAAAATAAAGTATTAAGGTGCTGCTAGACTATTTGTTGTTTTTTAAGTTTTTTGAATGGGACTTAACATCCCTTATGCCCACAGGAGAAAACCTTCCATTGACATACCACTAGCTACGTTAAGGGTTAGTTCAAAATTAGTGACATTCTGGGGTGTGGATTTTTCACAACCCTGAGTGGCATATACTAATCTAAGATTATAAAGTAGATCTGACCTGAGAGCACAAAGAGGATGGTGTCTTTTGTATCCATGAGTGTTGGACCCTGGTGTGGAAGGTGCTGGTTACAGTAAGAAGTTGCTGTAGGTGAGAAACTTAACACTGACTACAAACCTAACAGACTAAACGTTTTTTAGTCTCTCAGAAGCATTGTATACATTTGCCTTGTTTGTAATAATCTGTTTTCACTATTTTTACTCAGTAAATCTGTATTTTATTAATAAATGTCTTTGTTTTATCTTGACTAGATCTCAGTACTTTGCTTAATGTGTGATGTCTTTGTTGACTCAACTAAACTGGTGTGTACCCTATTTCTTTGGAGATAGTGGTCTTGATAATTATTGTGTGTCCAGTGATGGACTGGGTATCACAGGAGAATGCTCTTCCTGGGGTTCAGAAACTGAGTTATAAATCTTGCCTGGAAAAGCAAAGTAAGGGCTGTCGGTGACCTGAGAAATTTGTGAATTGTGGCTGATAGTCTAGGTTGGAGTAAGAGGATGCTGTCACCCAGTTAGCACCAGCATGTTTTTCTTACTAAGACAGAAGGCTTGCAAGATCACCCACAATTCTTGATCTTGCTATGAGGTAATAAGGACGAACAGTCTGGGTTCTGCAGCTTGGTGGCAGTTGTATAAAACATTGATGAACAGCTATCATCCAGTAATCTCATGTGTTACCTGCATACTATGTTTGAAAGGACTTTTTTCAGGAATCTGTAAAAGTCAAATGGTAAATGGATGCTGAACTTCTTAAAATGAAATGTGGTCTGTTCTATTTTTTTAAAGAAATTAATCTTATAGGCAAAGAGCACAGCTTTATTATTGTCCATTTCAGTATGTGCATTGTTTCAGTCACTTTAGCAGAAAATCTAAACTGAATTCTAGTCAAGCAAGTATCCTTAAAGACTATTGATGCTCACTAAAATTTAAAATTAACTATATTCAGCTCCTCTGATGGAGAGTGGAAAAGGGGGCAGTTGCCCCAGGGCATGGTGATTCAAAAGGGATCAAGGCTTCCAGCACAGCTATTGCAGCAGTAGAGGTGGCCGGAACCCTGGGCCCTTTAAATCACCACTAGAGTGCCAAGAGGCTCTGAGGGCTGCCAGGGGGAGGGAGGATCGGGGACACAGTATGGTACACTCCAGGCGGCAGTGAGGGCTGGCTGCCCTCAGTCCTGCTCCTTCCTGGAGTGCAGAGCTAGCTTCCCCTCCCCCTGCGTTGCCCAAGAGCCTGCCAAATGTGTCCTCACCTCTTCCTTCTGCCCCTCTAGCTATATAGATAAAATCTATTTTCTGGGAGACAAAACTGAAAAATTATATGGGCAGTTGCAGTAGACTAGATGATACACTCTCTTATGTTCAAGGGACAGTAGAAATAGACAGAATTGGACTAGTTTGTTTTCATTGCCTGAACATCCAGTGTTTGCCTGTCCTCTTTTAAGATCTAAACCAATTACAGATCTACAAATTGAAATACTGCAGATGAGATGTTTAACTTTTTGCTCTAGAAATTTACACTTTCTATGGCTGTAAAGAGGAACATTAAATGTCATATTTAGGTAAGTCAATGGTAAGCAGCCTGCAGCCCATTGGGATCTTATGTGTGGCTCACAAGATATGTTGTTTATCATTGCCGACACACAGTGTTGCCACGTTTCCCTGATTTTCATCCACATAGCTTTTTACCTGTTGGTATCACAAAAATGACACGCACTTAAAGCAAAGGCATGTATAGTAGGGATGTGAGTGGCTTACTGATTAAGGTTAACCAGTGGGTGCTGGGACAGCTCCCTGCCTACTGGTGTGCAGGGGAATGGTCCATCCCCATGGGAAGTCTATTGCGGACAGGGGCTTCTCTGGTGTACCAGCCTGCGCAACCTCTGATGGCAGCAGGCCTGGGCACACCACAGGCAGGGCCTCCTCTGGCGGGGCTGGGGCAGTCCTTGCCTTTGGTGGTGGTGGGGGGGTGCTTCTTCAGCTCAGCTGTGGGTATAGCAGGCCCCCCCCTTTACATTGCTTAACCAGTTGAACTAATATGTTTAACTGATTAACCAATTAAATGGTCTTTTACATCCATAACTTGGAGTGAGGTGAATTGCTGATTGCACACAACACTGTGAGAGTTATGTGCTTCCTCTGCATCTAATCAAAGTGCTGTTCAATCAGCAAATCCCAAAAGTTCTAGGTACGCAAGCAAAATTACTCTATTCCAAGACACTGTCGTAACCAAGACGATCTTGCACCCACTCATTTACCTATGTTGCCCCTCAGTTATTTAACTAGCAATTTATAATTGTTGACATAGTTCCATGGATTTTTGGGAATAGTAAGAGAAAATGTCACCTAGCTTTTTTATTTCCCCCTCCCCCCCATGCTCTAGTTATGGAAATGATCTGAGTACTAATGCTAGCCAGTGTTTTAAATATTCTTTTTGCAAGCAGAAAAGTTTCCTAACTTCTTTTCTCCAATGGCTTTTTTATTTTGGAAACCCAGTCCTATATTGTGAACATCCAATTTGTATTATAACAAAGTTTTTACAAATCCTATGCTTGTAGAGTTTATGGTAATGTTTAAAAGTGGAACATGTTCTTTTATTTATCTTTTTACAGTGCAAATATTTTAAATAAAAAATACGAAGTGAGCACAATACACTTTGTATTCTGAGTTGTAATTGAATTTTTTTCTTCATGCATTGCCTGATGTTATTGATTAACAGTGCAATGAAAACAT